ATGGGGATGGTGCAGGACCAGGTGGGACAGTCTTGGGCAGTCTTTCATGACGTTGTGATGGTTCTCAAGTCTGGATCCAGCTCTACAGCAGCTAAAACAGCAACCAGAAATCAACCATGTTGTTGTTGTTAAGTGCTGTCGAGTCGGTTCCGACCATAGGCCAAAGAAAATCATGAAAACAGAAATTGAGCTGAATAAAAATGTAAACACAGCATATCAGAATTTATGGAATACCAAACAGTACTAACTAAAAATTTATAGCACTAAATGCCTATAAAAGGATAAAGATCTCAATGCAATGAACTCATGGATCATCTTAAGAAATTATAATTTAAACCCAAGTAATACTGGGTGCTGGAGTCCTGGTATGGCGCTGTGGATTAATCTGCCAGACTGCAATGCCGTTTGAACTGCAAGGTCGGCGGTTCAAGCTCACCAGTCGCTCCTTGGAAGCCCTGTGTAGGGTTGCTATGGGTCGGATCCGACTTGACGGCATTTAACAACAACAATAACAATACTGGGTGCTGGAGGCTTTTTTGGACTCCTGATGTGGTGCGGTAGGATCAGCATTGGACTATGAACCATAAGGTTAGTAGTTCAAAGCCACCAGCTGCTCCTCAGAAATTTTATACAGGGTCACTATGAGTTGGAACCAATGAACGGCACTTAACAACAACAAGATGCAGAGGTAAAGAAATAATAACACAGTGGCAACAGCAATCAATGGGCTCAGGTTTAACAAAGATTGTGAGGTGGCACAGGACTGGGCAGTGTTTCGTTTTGTGTACAGGTTTGCTATGAGTAGGAACTGACTTCGTGGCACCTAACAACAATAATAACAACAATGGAAATTGGCAAATGAAATAGAAATCAGCAAAACTGTAGGAAAAAGTGCTTGAAAAATTTGATTCCTTGAGAAGATCAATAAAATTAATAAGCCTCTGACCTGACAGGAGAAAAAAAGCGTAAAGTCACGATTGGGAAGCTGCTATAGGGTCAGCACTGGATTGCTAACTGCAATGTCAGTGGTTCAAACCCACCAGCCACTCCTCAGAAATCCTATGCTGAGTCACTATGCATTGGAACCAACTCGATGCCACTTAAGAACGATAACAAAATGCATTTTAGCCCAGTGACTGCTAGGCTACTGTGTTCCCACTAGGATGGCGGGATGTTGGTTTCCACTGTTAATGTGGAGCTGGGGTGAGAAGTGGGAACAAGAAGAAGTTAAAAGCTGCAGAACTTGCTTACTGGATCCAGCCATTTTCTTCTTGGGGGGAGAAAAAAAAAGTGCTACTTGGATTGTCAGCCTTTTGTCTTCGTTTTCCAGAGCCGCTAGCAGCACATGCCACATTGGGTGACTTGAAAGAGCACAGATTTCTTTTCTTATGGTTCTGGAGGGGTATTCCTTGGTTCCTTGTTGCTCCTCACATGGCATCTGTCTTCATGCATGTGATATCTCTGTATCTAATCTACTGGGGTTATAGCTCAGGTACAATCCAATTAGAATCTACCAGCCACTGTGCAGAAGAAAGATGGGGCCGTGTGTTTCTGTAAAGAGGAACAACCTCGGAAGATCCACTCTGTTCTGTGGATCTCACTGTGAACTGCAGTCAACTTGATGACAGTGGTGTGGCTTTGGCTCTATGTGATGTGGCACTGTAGGATAAGCACTGGACTGTTAACCTTAAAGCTGGCCATCCAAACCCACCAACCACTCCTCAGAAACCCTATGAAAGATTTATGGGAAAATACCGTATTATCTATTAATTCCATTTTCCACAAACTGTTTGAACCTTTGTTGTTAAGTGCCGTTGAGTTGGTTCCACCTCATAGTGATCCTGTATAGATAAGGTTTCCCGGTTTTAAATCTTTGCAGGACCAGAAAGCCTCATCTTTCTCCTGCTGGTGGATTCGAACCACTAATCTTGTGGTTCATAGTCCAGTGCTTATCATGTAGAGCCACAAAGCTCCTTTGAAGCCCTAATTAGCATCATATTTGGCATCTTTCACTTTACCCAAGGTTTACCATGATTGTAAGCTGTCTAGAGAAACCAGTTGCTGGTGAATATTTCAAAAAGAGAGATGCTGCGTGGGTATGCAGTGTGGCCTCAGGACAGTCACTGCTGTCCAGATTGTCAGTGGCAGACGCCCTTTTCAGAATCCGTTTTCCTTTATTATACATCATAAATAGCAAAGAGTTCTGGTGAAACCCATCCCATTTGTTTGAGGACAGCTAGAAAGTCAGTAACTTGACATTTATATTTCTTTGTCTTTTCTTATGAGACCTTTAGAGAGAAGACCCAAGGAACCACTTCGTATTTATTAGTTTAACTTTTTACTTGTCTTTCATTAAAACAACATTAAGTATTATAAATTAATTAAATTATAATGCTGCTTGGATATTTGCTGCAAATCATAGAAAATAAGCAGATTTGAGGGTTTAATAGGATTATAGTCCTGTGAGAAGACATTTTTTTTAAGAAATAGAAAACAAGATTGTATCCTTAGGGCACATCTAATCTAATTGGGAAAAATAAAACTAGAGGTAGTAATTCTCAGTATTGTTGGTGTTGGTGTTAAGTCAGTTGAGTCAGTTCTGATTCATAGCGACCCTGTATAGGGTTCCCAAGAAGCAGCTGATGGGTTTGAACCAGGCTTTGTGGTACGCAGTCCAGTGCTAATCCTACAGCACCGTACCAGGAGTCCAATTTTCAGTATGCCTTGTATCATATGGGTTTGGGAAAATCACAGAGGTGGGGACAGAATAAGGTGGGATCTTTATTGTCACCTCTCATTTTGGATAAGTAATGTTTCATTCACTCAGTTCGTTATCAATGTGCTTGACTGTGCCAGACACTATACTGGGCTCTAGAGACACAGCTATAACCACACCAGGCAGGTCTCTGCTCTCCTTGAGCTAACACCTAGGGAGGGAGTCAGCCATAAATAAGCCAGCCAGCAGATAAATCATTGCAACCTGTGATCATTGCTTTGAAGGGATCAAGAGAGTTGGTGTCATTTTAGATAAGGTGGCCCTTTCTAGAAAGATCTTTGTAAGGAAGAGAGTTGAGCTGAAACTGGAGGAAGAAACGGAACAACCCATAGAGAAACCACTAGGATGGTTCAAAGACCCAAGGGAGAGGGACTTGCCCACATATGCAAAGCAACAGGGGAACTGGTACGTCTAGATTGTAGGGAACCTGGAGGAGTGTTAGGTGATACAATTGGAGAAACTGGCAGTGCCCAGACCATGCAGGCCTTGTAGGCTGTGGTGAGGAGTTTGGATTTTATCCTAAGTGAAAGGGAGGCGTAAAGGGTGTCAAGAAAGGAGGATCCTGGCCTGATTTGGACTTTTAAATGACGACAGACTGTAGGCTAGAGTGCATTGTAGGGACCAGAATGAAAGTAGGAAAAAGTCAGAGGAACATGCTCGGAGTCTCTTCACCCTTACACCTGTACTTGGAGAGCTAGCAGAAGGGGGTCAGGAGTGATTATAAAGAATGGCTGCCAAGTGGGACCCCCTAGGACTGGAAAGGCCAAAGGATTTGGTGCCAGGAATATCTGCTTTTGAACCTCAGCTCTTCCACTTTCTGTTGTTACTAAGTGCTGTCAAGTCAGTTCTGACTCTTAGCAACCCTGTATAGGGTTTTCGAGGAGCAACTGGTGGAAAATAGGCAAGTAATTTAAGCTTTGTAATGAGTCAGAACCAACTTGATGGCACTTAACAACAATAACAAGCGTCTCTAAGCATCTGTTTGTTTTTAAAATGGGGAAGAATTCATCTTTCCCTTTCCTGGTGTAGACCTTTGGTGAAACAGAGAGTGAAGGTGGCACCTCCGGCAGTCACAAGTGCTTGTGTGCGGAGGGTGTACTCTGGTTGGTGCTGAGTGGGGGGCTCGCTGAGCAGAGTAGGGACTGACTTCACTGTTTCAGTCCTGAGAACAGCATCCATGTGGTAGCTTCCGAGCCTCTGAGTCTCTAATTTGGCGTGTCTAGCTCCCGGAAATGTGAAGTGAGAGACAAGCATGGATAGCATAGTTGGATGCTTGTCCTGGGATCAGATGGATCTGGATTCATTGACATCGCTGAATGACCTTAAACTAAGGCCTCTGTCCTCAGCTTCTTGATCTGTAAAGTAAGGACTGTGGCATTACCTTATCCAGGAGGCTGTGAAACAGATGACATCAAAGCCCTTCATTTAAAAACGCTGGCATCACTGAACTCACGTGACTTGATGACAGAACGCGTAGGAGGTGGTTGGCATAATGCTTGTCACATGGTACTCAAGAAAATAGTTTCTATGGTTGTTGGGGAGCCCTGGTGTGGTGCTGTGGGTTAATGCACCAGACTGCAAAGCCATTTGAAATGCAAGGTGTAGGCAGTTCAAGCTCATCAGCTGCTTCTCAGAAACCGTATACAGGGTCACTATGGGTCGGAACCGACTCGACAGCACAGAAAAACAACAATAACATTGTTATTGGCGTCCTGGTGTGGTGCTGCAGGAAAGTGCTCGATCTCAAGGTCGACAGTTCAAGCTTACCAGCCGCTCCTCAAAAGCCCTATGGTGGTGGTGGTGGTGGTGGTGGTGGTGGTATGCCATGGAATTGGTTCCAACTCATAGCGACCCTGTGTAGGGTTTCCATAAACCCTGTGTAGACTTTATGGAAGCAGAAAGCATCATCTTTCTCCCATGGAACGGCAGGTAGTTTCGAACTGCTGACCTTGAGGTTAGCAGCCTGACTTGTAACCACTAAGCTACCAGAAGCCCTATACAAAAGATCATTATGAATTGTAACAACTCGATGGCATGTAGTAACAACAACAATTGTTACTACTACAACTATTATTATTACTGTTCTTCACCAAGACTCTATTTAACTAGCTGCTGTTAAGATGGGATAAAATACCAGGGGTACGTTCCAAGTAAGCCTGTGTATTATAAGGTAAAAATGAAAATGGAGTGACTTGCTAATTCCTGTGGCTTTGGCATGCCCTAGGTGGACAATCAGCAAATTGGTACCACTCAGCCCTTCATGTTGTATGTAACACCCCTGAGCAACGAAAATGAGGTCATCGAGACAGGCCCTGCTGTACAAGTCAATGCTGTGAAATTCCCCAGTAAGAGCGCACTGACCAACATCTATAAGGTATTCTGGGGTGGGGCTGATGCCATGCCAGAGGCTGGTTGGGTCTCTTACAGCCAAGTCACAGAGCAGGGTGCTAATGCAAACAGTTGCAGGGGCTGAGGCCACTTGTGACTTTATGTGTTGTTTAGGGAAATAAAAAGTAACTCCTTCTCTGAGAAAATGTATCTTCCTAATTGTCCTTTCAGTGACCTCTGAGAATGTAGTGCTGAGTTGATAGATTGATCAGATTAAGCATGATCTGGATATGAAGTAAAAAATCTATTAAGACTGAGAGAGATGTTGGAAAAGGTCTAGGAGGGTCGTGACCTTAGAACAGATACCTTGCTGTGTAAACTGATGCACTGTTTACTAAAAGCACGTGTAGGCCAGCTAGTTTAGCAGCTAACTCTGGACAAAGTGGGAACTAGGAGATTGCTTCCATACTGCTGGTAACTTGTCACCCTTGTTGATGGAACTAAGCCCACCTGCAGCCCCCCAGTCCAGACTCAGACCTGCTGCTCCTGAAACTCGTGGCCACCATCTGAGTATAGGACAGAAAGTCCATCCAACACAGGGCATCTGAGACTGTAGTGTCCTGACTTAACGAGGCACATATGCCTGGGACCAGATAAAAGGATGGCGAATTGTCTACTGAACGTCTTCTGAAGTTCTTGGTTAATGGTAACAGCGGAAGCAGAGATCATTTCCCAGTATATCTCTGATTATTAAAACATGCTAGCAAAGAGAGCAAAGGGGCCTTTGAAACAGCACAGATGCACGTTCATTCCATTGTTCACACTGTAAATCCGAATTTGTTTATCTCTAGCATCTGATGATCACGGCTCAGAGATTCACAGTGCAAATTGAGGAAAAGCTGCTCCTCAAGCTGCTGAGTTTCTTCGGCTATGATCAAGCAGAATCAGGTAAGTTTGTTTCTGGGCATTGGCCCACTGATGGCAGTTTGATTTCCACTTCTCAGCCCCGGCTAAGGTTTGTGTTTCTGTTTTCCTATGTCCCATACATACTCTGGTAGCGTAGTGGATACAAATCGGGCTGCAAACCTCGTCAGCAGTTCAAAACTACCAGCTGTTCCATGGGAGAAAGATGAGGCTATCTGCTCCCGTAAAGATTTACAGCCTCAGAAACCCTGTACAGGGTCCCTATGAGTGGGAACCGACTCCACGGCACTCAACAACAACATACGTACTTGCTATTTGACTTATACCTGTGTTCTGTGGTAGCCAATCACAGCATCTTCGGGTATCATCCCCAGTGGTAAGCCTTTGGGAAGCAGTATATTGTTCATCTTTGCTTCTCATTTTTTTTTATTCATCTGCTCTAGGGTAACAGAAACCATGTTAGTCATTTAGCAAAAGGCCTTTGTTTCCTAACCTTTGTTTATTAAACAGACTGAGGGCCAAGAATCAGAAATCCCTTGGGCATTTCCTTTGGTTTAGTTGAGAGAGAGAAGAAAAATTTTTTGGCTAGCCTCAACTCCTTAACTTTTGACATCCATACCCTTATGCCTTAATATAATTACCAAGGTTTCCAGTTTCTTTACTCTTGTCTTTAGGGAGGAAAGTTAAGATCAGCTATTTGAAAACCTAAATTTCCAACTGCTACAGAAATGATTTAGCTATTGTTCCTTTATTTTTGATTCCTCATCATGGCATTTTCTTCTGCTTTGAGATTGATGATGCAGGGATATGTGTGCATAGCTTAGAAATAGCTCAGTAATGCTTGCTTAGTTGTTTGAAAGCTGAACTCAATATTGAGAGCTAAATACTGAGCTGGAAGAAACGGTAAGACAGCGAGGTTTTTTTTTCCTGATGTTTGTTAACATTTTGTGTGTGTGTGAGCTGAGTGATAGTTTACATGGGAGAACAGCGGTTTTACAATCATGATTTCATTGCAATGATTACAGTCTCCTCCTGTGCATCTTCATTCAGCAGTATTTGCTTGCATTCCCTCTGGTCTGTTTTTCTTTTTTTTTTTGTTTTTAATGTTTTATTGTGAATTATATGATAATTTACATGAGAGAACTTTAGATGTTGTTTCATTGCAATGATTACAATCTTCTCCATGCATCATCATTTAACAATAGTTGCTTCATTCTCTTTTTTTTTGGGGGGGGGGGGTGGCGGGGGCAGGGAGATGTACACAAAAACACTCAGGAATATATAATAATTTAAACAACCAAAGGGAACATTTCTGCAAGTCTGTCAGGACAGAGACTTCTTATGTTTACCATGTTGGCTAAAGAAAAACAAAACAGAATATGGGGAATGTGTACATACTCAAGTTTATATAATACATAAAATGCAAGGAAAAAGATTTGGCCTCTCTTTATCACAGACTTAGAATTTCAGCTTTAAGTATAATTGGGATCCCATCTGTTTAATGCTGTTTTTCCACTTTGGGTTGGAATGCCAGTGCTGGTATGTATTCAGACAAGTCCCTTTAGACTCCATCTCCTAGATTTCAGTTCTGTTTGATACTTTCTTGGGCACTTTCACTTTCAATTTGCTTGCATATACCTTTCTTGTAAATTGCTCTACATACATTTATTTGTATCCAAGCATAAGGGGTATTGTGTAGTGAATTTAGATGTGTGTCTAGTCTTTCCTGCCTTTCATTGGAGCATCTGGCCTCCTTCCAAGGGTTGTTTCTGTTTCCTGTGCACAGATAGGCAGGTCTCTATTGAATGCAGTCCCCCTGTCCCCCACGGCCACCCCCCACACACACACACACACATTCTCCATGGCAGGCAGTGACTCTAGAGGATAAGCACTGAACTGCAAACCAGAAAGAAGGTCAGCAGTTTGAACCCACCAGCCACTCCATGGAACAAAGACGAAGCTTTCTGCTCTTGCATACAGCTTCAGGAATGCTATACAGGGTAGCTTAACAACAACCTATTCCCCAAGGAGCCCTGGTAGTGTCGTGGGTTATGCACTGTGCTGCTGTCCACAAGGTCAGCAGTTGGAATCCACCAGCCGCTCAGTGAGAGAAAGATGAGGCTTTCTGTTCTCATAAACATTTACAGCCTCAGAAACCCTACAGGGTCAGTGTGTGTCGTAACAGACTCAGCGACACATAACCACCATCTCTTCCTTTTCTAAGGAATCCTTGTAATGCAGTAGTTAAAGTGCTTGACTGCTAACTAGAAGTTTGGCAGTTGGAGACCTCTAGTAGCTCTGTGGGAGAACGATGCAAGTGTTCTTCCATAAAGATTTCCAGCCTTAGAAATCTTTTGGGGCCATTGTACTCTATTCCATAGTGTGGCTTTAAGTCGAAATCTGTGGCAGTGTGTTCTGGTATGTCCCCTCTTTGTCCCCCATATCCATATAGGCATAAATGATTACCTAGCTGCATACGTTTGTTTGCAAAATAGACATGTGCGTCCCAAGTCACATAAAGCCAAGTGAAAATAAGTTTCCTTATGGGTGCAGATCATCAACCACAAGTAGTTTCCAAACTTGTGATGTATTCGAGTTACGGTGAACTGTAATGTTTTGTTTCTGTTTTTGTTGTTGTTTTGTTCTTATTTCGGTACATCTTATTTTTGGTAATGGGTGCAACATATAATATTGCAGTGCATAATTTGCTGATGTTACCCTTGTTAGAGATGTTCACTCACAGATGTTCGAAAGACTGGATTTGTAAAGATACCAATAATAAAAGGCAATAATAATGAAAACTAAAAAAGAGACAAAGATTTGACCTAACGTCAGCACCAACTTACGGCAGAGGCATTGGAATGTGAACCCGTCATAAGTTGGGGACCAGCTGTACAAAGAGCACGTTGTATTTTAGCTCATGTCAACTCTTGTCACTTCATGGGAGAGTGCATCCAAACATCTGCCTTGATCATCTTATTTAAACAGTCCTTTATCAGTTTAAGGGCTAAGGTGCACCTAACCTAAGCATAGTATTTTCAGTTTCCTCATATGCACATGGAAATTAGACAGTGAATAAGGCAGAACATAGAAGAATTGATGCATTTTAGTTAAGGTGCTGGAGAAAGAAGCCAAGATTATATCTCAGGGATCAGAGAAGGACATCATGCTTGGTAAAGTGAAAATGTGAAAGATTCCCGGTGAGATGGATTCACACAGTGGCAGCCACAATGAGCTCAAATGTAACGATAATTGTGAGGATGGCACAGGACCAGCCGGTGTTTTGTTCTGTTGTTCATAAGGCCACGTGAGTCGCAACCAACTTGGTTACACCTAACAACAATTTTTCACAATGATTTGGTTAAGCTACTATTTACATCTTTATGTGGATTATTATCTCAAAGAGTAGATAATCTAGGTCACTGATAATATTAATAATTGTAGTAGTAGGTAATGGTTTCTTGAAAGTCCTACCAGGGAACACACCCTTGACCTTTGATTTTCCCAAAGATGATATCTGCCAGATGATAGTCACAAGTAAAAAGAGTAATCTACTCTACCGTGTGGATAAACAACATGAAACCAATCGGCTTTTACAAAGAAATGACTTCAGGATATGAACACATAACTGGTCCCTTGAAAACTAAATTTAGAGAAATGGAAATTTACATGTTTTTAATATGAGTGCAAATATCTGCATTATGAATCTTTAGGAGATTCCCATTTTCAAAAATTCTGTCTTTGTACCAGAAGTAGAAAAATATGATGAGACCCTCCATGAAAAGACAGTTGAGCAAGGCGGAACACCAATTCGATACTACTTTGAAAATCTCAAAATCAGCATACCCCAGATCAAGCTGAGTGTGTTCACCTCCAACAAGCTGCCATTGGACCTAAAGGTGAGCTGATAACTGGGCAGATCTCAAAAATGGACTTTTCCTTGGGAAAGAATGAGTTTGTTTACTATTTGTGTTTTCTGCCCTACATTGTCATTTGTTGGGGGTGTTTTCACAGGCTGTCTTTTTCAGACGGTTTATTGACTTATGAAGGAGCCCTGTGGCAGAGTGGCCCAGTGCTTCACTGTTAACTGCAGCACTGGCGATTGGATCTTACTCTCTTTTTTTAATCTTTCAGCGTGACTGTGTTAAACATTAAGTAGTGATAGAGAGAGTTACTGCACTGTCAGGTACATACAACCCATCTGCTCTCTGCTTAGCTCCCGGCTTATTTCAGTGAGGTGATAGGTTCCTTTCTAGGGGTGCCCCCAGATGCAAGAGAAAAACCGAAAGCAAGACAACAGCTTCCTTTTGGCTGCCCTCCCAACTCTTCCTTCCTTTCTCAGTACCCATACCTTGAATGGTGAACTCTGGGAATGTTTACCGCCTTCAGGGAAGACTTGACTGCATACTCCCCGAGGTGGGACCTAACGTCTCACTACATCAGGACATAATATTCATATCCATCCATTAGCATGCCTGTATGCACTTGACAGGTGGAGCCTAGACATCAGCTTCATTATCAGCAATCACAACCATTTCAAGTAAGATATGGGGAAGGCATCCAAATCCAAGTCTTATCTAACTAAAGGGTGTGTTTTTTCACTCTACTATCCTCCTCCTCGTATATCAGGAATCAGAATTTTAGAGCTGTAAGAATCCTTGATGATCCCCTTACTTGATGTATAAGGAAATGGAAGTTGAAAATGTTTAACTACTCAATCCTGTGTAGCTTGATAGTGAGAGGATCAGAAGTGGAATCAGGTGATTTTAAGAGAGTCTTGTTTCAGGTTAAGTCTAAATCTGCCTCCCTGCAGTTTGGGCCCATTGATTGGGGTTCTTTCTTCTGTTACACTTCAGTTACAAGGAACCCACCTCCCCACTACCCACTTTTTCTCATTGGTCTGTACTGCCGTCTCTGAGATGCTCCAAGATGGTGGTGTGTCGTCTGTCTCTGAACAGGAGCAAATGACTAATAAATCTGTAGCCATAAATCCAGATGTCTTCAGGGCTATGCCAGTACTGAGATAAGGGAGGCACACGCAAGTACACACTTCATCTGAAGGGGGCAGCCGCCACTCAGACCCAGCCAGGGCTCTCGTCGGGAAATGGGAGCCTAGTGCTACCAGAGCTTCAGATTTTTAAAGAGACGCCGGAAATCTGGATTTTAATGTGGAATCTCCTGATTTTCAAACGTTGGCAAGCAATTCCATTTTTTTGGTTGGTGTTTCTTATAAACCTTGTGGGCCTAACGAAACACATGTGTGGGCCTCATGTGGCCCATGGTTTGCCAACTTCTAAAATAGACTTATCGGTAATGAGACAGTAGCTTGGTCAACATCCGATCCCAGTGGGAGAGGCGTAGGGGAAGGGTGACTGGTCTGTGGAGGTGTAATCAGAATCAGCAGTGGGGAGGGCTGCTGGTCAGGACTAGGGGAGCAGGAATCGCCCAGTCAGCCTCCTGAGAGCAGGTGCCGGGTGTGCTGCGCTGGTCTCCATGGACTGGCTGCTTAATTTGCTTTAATTTCACGTTTCCCAGGAGGCTGGAGATACTTAGAATTAACATGGGAGTGGGGGAAAACCACCCTCCTGCTAATATCCACAAGTATCCACTTGACTTTGGTGACCCTTTGGAATGACTTTGTTTGAAAAAGTTGATATTCCCCCGATCACTTGGCACTCACCCAGCAAACCAATGCTCAGCATTTCCCGGGAGTCCAGGACGTCTCTTTCTTTTAAATCCTCTTATTCAGAAGTACAGATACCAAATTATTCTCTTAACTGCTCCCAGCGGAAAACTTTTCCCCAGACCGACAAATGCAGTATGATTTTATCTACCGTTAACATAAGTGGCCCGAGCCTTCCGGTTATGGTACTAATGTTTGTGTGCACACTCCATATACAATCGACTGGAAATCATTTAAGTCGAATGTCTCATTTTCAAGTGATTGCTGAACAACTGAAATGGTGCAGCCCTACGAGGCATGAGGGGCACACTGAGTACAGTGAGTTAGGTTTCAGGTGGTTGTTGTTGTGAAGTGCCGTCGAGTCAGTTCTGACCCATAGCGACCCTGTATAGGGTTTCCAAGGAGCAACTGGTGAGCTTGAACTGCCAACCTTGCAGTTCAAATGGCTTTGCAGTCTGGCGCATTAACCCACAGCGCCACACCAGGACTCAGGTAGAGCACCAGAAATGGTGACTTCAGAGTTAAATTCTCAGGTTGTGGAAGCCACTATTTTACTATATTTGAGTCCTACTGGAGTCTGGGACTCATAAAGTAATGTCATTTATTCAGAGTTTTCTAACAGAGTAATATCCTTTTATTATAGCTTTGAGGAAGGGCAATATGCTCTTTTCGATGAATATATAATCCCTACAAGTATATGTTTAGGAAAATAAGAGTCCTAGCCCAGACCAAAGTTACAAGAGTATGACTAAAAGGTAACCATGTCTTTGGTGTTGAAGGAATAATTATCTAGATTCTCCTGACTGCAGACCAGAAGTGAGACTGTCAGAAATCTCAGATGAGTACATTGTTGCCATATATAGTGTCTGCTCAGAAGGACTCAAAGCATTTCCACATCTGCTATCTCAATTGGATTCCTGACTCCAGCATGGAAGAAGGGGAGATAATAGTTCCACTTCACAAATGCAGAGCCGGCAAGCACAGCCTTCCCTCCCCCCACATCCCCCATTATTCGCCCAAGTTTATGTGTGAGACTGCATAATCAGAACAAAATGCCAGGTAGTTTATATATTTGTTGTTTTTAAGATGAAAAGAAATCAAGAGCCTTTAAAAGGTTTCCGAAGGTGGCCCACAACAGTCCTTTTACCATTTAGAGCATAGGGTATTATAAAGGAAGGGCTTTAATTGAGCAATCTAGTTTGGAAGAAAACCCACATTTTAATGGTCAAAGAAAGAGAGAGAGGGTGGGGGTGAAGGGGGAATTTCAAACAAAGACACTATTTAAAAAGCCCAAAACTGTCTTCTGAAAGGCTTGAAATAATTTGTTGGGAAACTTCAGACCCTTTACTTTTTCTTCCCCTCCCTAAATAAAAACCAGATTTGTTAAAAGGAAAAAAGATCCAGTATTGTTAATTGTATTTCAGAAAGTGCTAGGGAGGGAAATATCCCTGTAATTTTAAACACTGTCCCAAGAGGGAAATGGGCAAATACCCTGCTTCACATAAACAGTCACTATGTACCATAAATAAACCTTTAAAGAAAGAATTCCAGACAGTTTTGTTTAATGCAAGATAAACTAAGAAAGGAACGGACGTGGCCCAGGGAATAGCTTGTGATCTGAGACCTTATAGCATATGGGCAGGTATTTCTTCTTTCAACCCTAAGTTTTCAGAGGGCCCCAGCAGTTTCTGTCTGGGAGGTAGAAATAGACAGTTTCCTATTTTTATTAGGGACCTATGAACACAGCCTTGCTTTCTCCAGAACCCATTTTATTACAGGAAATGGTCTGCTACTTGAGTAAATAGGCATCAACTTTGTATACTACTGTATTTGATTAGTCATTTTGTTGCTACAAGAAAAAAAACCCTTGTGGCTCTCTCCTGGTCGCTTAGGCTCTGACCAGCTCAACCTGAAGGTGGCAGAAGAATTCACATCGACAGCCTGCATCTCAGCACTTGCAATAGCAGACGGCTCAGAGCAGTAAATGACTAGGTAAAGAGCATTTTTACTTCAGGGCCAGAATATTGCTTTGGTTCAGACAAGCATTTCAGTCATTTAGTAAGGAGATAGTGCCAAACCTGAGGGTTTTGACAGCTTAGTGGAGCTCTCAAAGTCTTTGGTACTGTGTATGTTTGGTTGCAAAAGGAAGTTGGGGTAAAAAGCTTTTTATCTCAAGTCTTTGTTTGAGTCTCATTTCCTTGTCTCTGAGAAGAAAGTATTTCTCAGAGCTGTATTGACAAAGTAAAGTGTTGAACATTGTCAGTATCCTGTTTCCCAGCTTATTTACCGTGAGACTCTAAGCAAAGCAAGTGAACCCATACATAGTGCCACACTGAAATGATGCCAATAAAAACATACCACGTACCGTGAGCTGTGGTGAGGCATGTGGGAAGGGCTAGGAGTAAAGTGTTTCAGGAGAAAGACTAAAACCCTACATTCTAATAGGGAGCTAATAGGGAGCTGGGGTTGGGGAAAATGAGTATGTTCAAGTCTCAGATCTGCTAAGAACTAGCTATATGCCTTTTGGTCATCCTCTTAACATGTTTTGTGTTTTATTGATTTAAAAAAACATGCATGTTAGATGATATTAACTAGAATATGCTCTTCAATCTCTTAAATGTTTTCTTCTGAAGCTATTTAGTAGGGGTGATATCCTGAGACATCAAATCTAATTTTCCTGGTCTTATCTACGTTCCCCTATCATATTTGACTTCTGTCCTTTCTGGTTTTCTCATTCTTCCATGTTTCTTCACTCTCTTTTTCACAGTTTTCTTTTACTTTCCTCCTCCTTTCCCTAATTCATAGGTTTAAGGATCATTTTTCTCTTCTACGAACTATTGGAAGTCCTGATGTGGCGCTGTGTGATAATACACTGGACTGCAAGGTCAGCAGTTCAAATTCACCAGCCACTCCTTGGAAACCCTATACAGGGTAACTATGAGTCGGAACTGACTGGAAGGCACCTAACAACAAAACATGAACTAGCTGGTCATATCACATGGCTGTTTTTTTTAATCAAGTTTTTTATTTTTGATCTTTTCTAATTTTCAAAGCTCTGATGTAAGTTGCAAAGTTTTTTAATAATTAAAAGCTTTTTTTTTTTTTTTTTGCATTTGGATTGTGAATCACAGAAAAGTTTTCTCCGCACTGGTTTTAGAATATTTCATCCATGTTTTCTTGTAGTATATGGTTTCATTTTCATGAAGCATATACTTGTTTCAATATTAAGGCTGTCTTTCCTCCTGCAAAAGAAAAAAAAAAGATTCAAAAGTAAGTAAGAAAGCAAAATAGGATATAGGAAATGGCACATGAAATTTCAATATATAATAAAGCTATTTGAATTCAGTGGAGAAAATATAGACTTTTTGATAAAAGCTATTAGACTAACTAGGTAGCCTTATGGAAACCTGTAAACTCATTCATTCTTCATGCCCTGCTTAAGGATATATTTCAAGTGGATCTGAAATTTATTAACTGTTGTTAGTATGAAAAAGTATTTTCACGTTTAAAAAAGAAAAATATTTGGAATGTTCTTTAAAAACCTTGAAATAAAACAAACAAAAAAACCTTGAAATATCAATCATGTTAAATAAAAAATATGATTAGAAAATAAACTGTATCCAGCAATGTGAACCTGTCCTACAGCAAACCTAAGCCAGCTGAGAACTATAAGAAAAGCTCTGTGTGTGTGTGTGTATGTGTGTGTGTGTGTGTGTGTGTGTGTGTGTGTATATCTGCTGGGAGGTATTGAAAAATTACCAAGGCAGCTAGTACTTGAGGGTCTAAGATTTATGAGAAGAGGGAATAAGCCCAGCATTTTATTCTGTGCTTTTATTCTTGAGGCATTTTCTAATTTGTAAGGGTTTGGGGAAAAGGTAGAGAAGCCATAAAGCAGCTACCAAAAGACAGAAATTCTACAAGTAAAGCTCTTGACAGTTTCATGGGGTGGGAAAGGCAAAAGTAAAACTTCATTTCTACTAAGAGAGCTGGGATTTGAGGGGCTAATATCTCAGAGAAAGGATATGCAAAGAAGAGACCCCCAATAGTGTGAGCCACTTTTATTGTTACAGCATTTGCCAATCTCTGAGGAACCCACCCTGAGAGAAGCTAAGCAAAACTGGCAGCCAAGAGGTTGAAGGACTCAAAGAAATTTTGAGCACTCTTACGGTTTAAGGTGGAGGAATGGCTTTGGTTTTCACTTGAGATTGCTGAAAGACTCCATACATACAGTTAGCCCAATAAGCAGACTCAAATCCAGTCTACAAAATGTCTACATTTAAGTGGATTAAGGTATCCCTCGTACTCTAACTGCCTTCCAGAAGTTAAAGACTCTTCCAAAGTCTCTACCAATTTTCATATGTAGTACCTCATTTAATCACAAAGTACCAGATTTCCTGAGAGATGGGACCAAGAGAAAAGATTGACAGTGGAGATAAACCCACAGTTAGTCCAGATGTTGGCATTACCAGCATTTAAAATAACTGTAAATAGTGTGTTCATGATATGTATAATAAAACTATAATTTATACTAAAGAAGAAACAAATAATAGAAAATTGTTGACCTTTTTTTTTCATGTACATGAAAGAAAACAATCTTAGCAAATCAAGCACAGCAATGTATAAGAAGGCTCATATAACTAAACTGGATTTATTCCAGGAATGCAGGGTTGGTTTAACATTTGCAGATCAATTGTATGCGTTTTTGTAGGAAATTGACAGGCTGATTCTAAAATGTATGTGGTGTTTAAAAGTGCACACTGTCCAAGGTAATCCTGAAGGAAAAGAACAAAGTTGGAGGGCTTACTCTATTAGATTTCAAGACTGATAAAGCCACAGTAATTATTGATTGATAGATAGATATCGATGTTGTTGTTAAGTGCCGTTGAGTTGGTTCCAACTAAATAGTGATCCAGTATAGGGTTTCTGAGGAGCAGCTGGTGGCTTTGAACTGCCGGCCTTATAGTTAGTAGTCCAGTACTTACCCTGTAGCGCCACACACAGTGTAGTAGTAATCGAAGGAAGGATAAAAATAAATAGTAAAGAGAATCCAGAAATAGACACATGAGTATAGCCACTTGATTTATGACAGGAGGGGAAGTGACAGATGGTCTTTTCAATAAATATGACTGGATCAGTTAGACACCTTTCTGAAAAAAATGAGTCTTATCTCTGCTTTAGGCTGTACATAAAACAAGCCCAATAGATTTAGATGTGAAGAGTAAAACAATAAAACTTTTGTAAGTAAATCTATGGGGATATCTTTATGACCTTAGCTCAAGATTGTAATTTTAAAAACAAGACACAGGGAGTTGTTACCATAAGAGAAAGATAAATTGAATTTCATTAAAATAAAACTTCTGTTCATTACTTAAAGAGTAGTAAGATACAAGAGTACTGGTGTAGCACTGTAGGATAAACACTGAATTGCTAGGTTCATCAACTGCTCCCCAGAAACCCTATGCAGGGTCACTGTGAGTTGGAAACAACTTGATGGCATTTAAACACAGCAACAAGAAAATGTAGGCTAAGCCCTGTACTGCAAAAACCAGAAGGCCAGTGGTTTTGGCTTACCAGCCACTCAGCAGGAGAAAGATGGGGCTTTCTGCTCCCGCAAAGATTTCTAGCCTCAGAAACCCTACACAGGGTTGTTATGAGTCAGAACCAACTCGAGGACACTTAACAACAAGAAGAAGCCAGCCACATCACAGAATGCAAGAAGGTAATTTGTAGTGTGTCTCTTTGATAAATGACGTATCCAGAACATTGAATGGAAGCTCCTACAAAGCAATAAGAAAAAGACAGACAACCACTAGAAAAATGGGCAAAAGATTTGAACAAGCACTTCACATAAAAGGATACCCAAATGGCCAGTATCCATATTTTAAAATGCTTGATATTATTCATCATTATTGTTAAATGTCATAGCGACCCTTTATAAGGTCTCTAAGGCTGGAAGTCTTTGTGAGAGCAGAAAACCTAATCTTTCTTCCACAGAGCGACTGGTGGGCTCAAATAAGAAAGTTATCGATACCAAGTATTGATCAGGACGTGAAATAGCAGGAAATGCCATCCATTGCGGGAAGGAATACAAAACTGATAGTACATATGAAGGTTGAATGTGTATATTCTTTACGTAATACATATCCAAGAAAATGTAGTACAAATATGCACCAGAAGATCTGTGCCAAAAAACTGATATAACCTAACTGTTCTTCCACATGATAAATTGTATTTTTATACATGGAGTGGAATATTATATAGCAATGAGAATTAATAAACTACAGCTAAATGCAATCAATAACCTAATGAATCTCACAAACTTGGTGCTGACTGCACTGTAGGATGAGCACTGCCACAAGGTCACCGGTTCAAACCCACCAGCCACTCCTCAGAAACCCCATACGCGGTTGCCATGAATCAAAACGGACTCAGTGATGCTTAACAACACTGCCAAAGACAGGAGAAGCTGCAACAACAAAGCACATACTAGTGATTTCATTTTTATAAAATTCACAGCAGGAAAAACTATTGTATGTTAACAGAAGTCAGGATAGTGGTAACCCTTGGGAAGGAGAGGGTAGTCACTGTTTGTGGTACTGTAGAGTAAGCACTGGACTGGTCTCCGCATGGTTGGTGGTTCAAGCCCACCAGCCACTCCCTGGAAACCTTATACAGGCTTGCTGTGAGTCAGAACCGACTCAGTGGCACTTGACAACAGTGATTGGGAGTAGGCATGAATCAGGGTGCTTCCAGAATGGCAATGTTATTGACTGTTCTGATCTGGGTGCTGGATACGTGGTGATGTTCACTTTGGGAATAATGCTTTTCTGAACGTGGGGTACGCCTCAATCACAAAACATGATAAGCACACAGACACAAAGTAGACCAGAAGGAATTATGCCGCGAAACTACCAGTACTTAATTCTGTGTTATGGATGGGACTTTGGGTGATACATGTGTTTTTAATCAAATTTTACTTTTTTAATTACAGGGAAACTTTCTTATTTACAGATATCAACAACTTGCCACTCATTGGCAAGTTAACATCCCTGGAAAGCCATCTTGTGACTAAAATATGTTATGTTCTTTCTTCCTTAATTAGGCCCTAAAAAGTACTTTGGGATTTCCACTGATTCGGTTTGAAGATGCTGTGATTAATCTGGATCCATTTACTCGGGTCCATCCGTACGAGACTAAGGAGTTTATCATCAATGATATCCTCAAGCATTTCCAGGAGGTGAGCTTCGTAGATGACCTTTGTGACTGGAACATAAAGAGAACGTGCTTGTTGTTGGGGAGTGATTGCTAAGACATTACTATGGAGAAGCTAGTTCAACAGTTCAGCTCTGTTTGTTGAGTTTGGGGTCAGGTCACATCCCATGAAGTCCATAAACATGATGAAAATCCTGAAACATTGCATTTGACTTAGGAGCTGTGAGCCGTACTCCAGCGACGTCACTGGATTACTCACGACTGTTAATGCTTTAATGATAACGCAGAATACTGCAAATTCTTATTTACCAGGCATGGGCCTGCTTTCAACAACCACACCAATGTTTGTAAAGCCTAGGAGAGTCTGTCCTTGAGTTGAACTTGAAAACTTTTTGAATCAGACTTTAAAGACCAAAATAAAAAGCTGCTATCTTCACTGGTCAATTTATTAGCTTTCAAAGTTACAATACTTTCTTTTTCCCTACTTTCCTGTCTTCCTTCCTTCCTTCCTCCCAACCTTACTAATTGGTGCTATTTCTACCTAAGAATAAGGCAAATGATGAAGTGTAATTAGGCAGTGGAGACAAAAAAAAAAGGGGGGGTTGATGAGGAGTCTATCCATGTCCTGTTTATGGCCCCCAGCCTCTGCCCCCTCCACAGCTGAGGGAGGAACTACAAATCTACCTTCTTTTAAGAAGTCTTCTGCTGATGATTAATTCTTCGTAGATATGACAGAAAGGAAGACTTGGTATATATACTAATAAATATGTGTGAAGGATCTTCTTAGCCATTTTTATTCTAAATGGCTTTTAAGAGTATTTCTACGAGTAATAAAAGCAATCTTTGAGATACGTGTGTTGGGAGAAATTTAGGTGGAGTCCATGAAAGGGTAGATCACTTGCAGTTGGTGTAAAGGTTTGTGGGAGGCGCTCCGGTGGTGTAATGATGGAGTACTTGACCACTCAGTGAAATGTCGGTGGCTTGAACCCACCAGATACTTTGCAGGAGAAAGATGTGGCTGTCTGCTTCTGTACAGATTACAGTCTTGGAAACCCTGCAAGACAGTTCTGTCCTGTATGGTCACTATGTGTTGAAATTGTCTCAGTGGCAACATGTTTGGTTCTGGAGAAGGATCGAAAGGTAATTGTTGGTGGTGATAGGAATGGAGAACTAGACTGATGGCTAACGTTTTTGTCTGGGGCTGGTCTGAAGATCCAAGCAGGTGCTGATTTTATATTTCTCTATTTCGTTTGACAGGAACTCCTCAGTCAGGCAGCTCGTATCCTGGGCTCAGTGGACTTTCTTGGCAATCCCATGGGGCTCTTGAATGATGTTTCTGAAGGGGTTACTGGACTGATAAAGTATGGAAACGTAGGAGGCCTCATCAGAAATGTTACACATGGAGTTTCAAACTCTGCCGCCAAGGTAAGGAAATAGAGGTGCCATTCTAGCATCGTTAGCCTCAGCAGTTCTTGACATCCTATAGCTGCTTTTATAGTAATAGGTTATGAGAAACTACATTCATGGTCTTCCCCTCATTGCCTACATGCCCTGCCTTTCCATCACCTCAGAGAGCCTGGTAGCAGGTCCATTGTACCCACCTGTGAAACGTCTCTTCTACATCCTCCGCAGTACCACACCTTAGTCCAGCTCTGGTCTCTCTGTCACCCGAGTCACGGCCATAACCTCCTGACCTTTGGACAGCATTGCACCTCCACTCCACCACACCAGTGAACTCACTGTTTACCGGGTAGCATTGCTGAGGCCTTTCTTCAACCTCAAGTCTACCAGTCAGTCCCCACAGCCTGGAGGAGAAAGTCTAAACTGAATGAAGCCTTTTGTAATGGAGTCCTGGTGTACTGCTGTAGGAGGAGCACTGGTCTGCTAACCGCAAGCTTGGTGGTTCAGACCCGCCAGCCACTCCTTTGAAAGCCTATACAGGGGCACTATGAGTCGGAACCAACTCGGTGGCACTTAATAGCACCAACCACACCAACAATGAAGTAGCCCTGGAAGGAAGGCACCTGAAGCCGGCAGTGCACAGACAATGGTGGCCTCTCAGGCGTCTGGCACTTGATGGGCATCTTGTTGGTCTGCAGTTCTTTGTCAGGCATTAACTGATTTTATTTGTGAGGCTTGAAAAGGCAGAAGAGTCAGCTGAAGAATCATGGCTGTTTGACATCATACACAAAGCCTCTGAGCCTTCTGCTTTCCTCTCTTCGTTTCAACTCCATGGACTTCTTGTATAGAATGTGACTTGTCTGCTGTGTAGATTTGTTATAGTGCGAGCTCAGGTGCGCTTATAACTGTGGGTAATGAGGGTATCAAAATAGCTTTATTTTTATGTTTTTTATGATGCCACTAACCTCCTAAGCTTCATCTCTCATACTTTGGACATACTGTCCAGAGGGAACAGTCGCTGGAGGAGGATGTCATGTTGGGTAAGGTGGAGGGTCAGAGAAAGAGAGGAAGACCCCTAACAAGATTGGCCAGGTGGCATCATTGATGGACTCGAATGTGACAGCGGTAGTGAGGTTGGCCCAGGATCAGACAGTGTTTCGTTCTGCTGTGCATGGGGTCGCTATGAGTCGGTTCCAACTCGATGGCACCTGACAACAACAACAACAACAACCTCCTACTTGGAGTCCTGAGTAGTGCTGTGTGTTAATGTGCTGGACTGCAAAGTCGGCTTTAACTGCAAGGTCAGTGGCTCAAACTCACCAGCTGTTCCTTGGTAACCCTATACAGGGTTGCTATGAGTTGGAACCAACTCGATGGCACTTCACAACAAAAACAGCAACCTTCTATACGGAATCCCGGTATAGTGCTTTGGGATAAAGCACTGGACCATGATGTCAGTTTGATCCACAAGGTTGGCAGTTCAAACTCACCAGCCACTCTCTGGAACCCTATACAGGGTCTCTATGAGTTAGAACCTGCTTGACAGCACTTAACAACAACATAGATGGAAGGAAGTAGATTTGAATAATGTTTCTAGTTTACATAGTGTTCTTATTAATATGTGCTCAAAACTATCTCTAGACAATTGGATTGTTGTTAAGTGCCAGGGAGTTGGTTCCTACTCAGAGTAACCCTGTATAGGGTGTCTGAGGAGTGGTTGGTGAGCTTGGGCCATCGACCTTGTGGTTCAAATCAGCTTTGCAGTCCAGCTCATTAACCCCCAGCACCACACCAAAACTCCAGACTATTTGGTAGCTGTCATCAGTACTGTGGCCATAGCCAATAAAGATTGCTGCTGTTTGATTTGTAGTTCATGATAGGCCCAACTCTCACGTCCAGAAAGGGTGACAGGTGGAGGCAGAGAGACATTCTATATAATGCTGGGAAACAGTTAGACTTTAGGTCAAAGTCTGAAGGAGTGCACATAATTCAGCTTGGAGGTAACTCCCCACACAGCCATTGGACCTTTACCCTAAGGGTATCATAAAGGATCACTGATGGCATAGAGGGTGGGACACGTTCCTCCTCCTACTCCTATTAGCTACTGAACTTGATGTACACAGATGTACTTAAGCATGATATGTTGTGAAGTGCCATCAAATTGTTTCTGACTCGAGGCCGGGAATTTTTGCGGGAGCAGAAAGCCTCATCTTTCTCCCACAGCACGGCTGGTGGGCTCGAACTGCCAACCCTGTGGTTCGCAGTCCATTACTTAGCATACAGAGTCATATTTCATTAAATTCCATTTAATATAGAAATGTCTTCTCAGTTTTATGGTTTTTTTCCTTGTTTTTTTGTATCCCAGAGCTTTTATTTGAAAGATAAATTTGCTTATGGCTTCCTGAAAGACCTTCCTCCACCTGGAATAGGGATACACATACTTTATAGGATTATTGAAAGAAGAAAATGAGATGTGGCTTGACAAAAGTTTTGAAAAGTACAGATCGAATATACTTCAACCATGTGAAGCATATTAAATATACTTTGACCATTCTATTAGCATCGATGTAAAATATTCAGACTTGAGCTGCCAGGAACCATTATTGCTCTTGAAATAAAAGCCAATATATTGCAGTCTACAGAGAGGAAGGTTCCAGGCACTGACAACAGGAGACTCAAACTCTGGGCCAATTTGGCTGCTATGAAAACCCTATCATTAACCTCTTGGATGAGAATGAAGAAATCATTAAGTTGCCTATGACTTTTCAACTGGCGAGATATTTGGTGGGTTTCTCAACGGTTTCCCTGAAATATCCTAGAGAAAAGGACTGATTCCTTACTTAGTCTTCATTGTTTTTGAAAGCCTCATTTGTTTTCTGCTTTTCTGCTTTTTGTCCTGGAAACTGTCTATGACGCTTGATGCTTGGCATGAGAATATAACTTAAATAGGAAGCAAGACTTCCGTATTCCTCACCCCTGCCCGCCCCCAATCATAATGAAGGTGGTGACAGTGTATTTGAGTGGAGATAAAGCTTTCTGTTGTCACTAGATTTGCATAAGGGTATTGTTCTTTTCCAAAGGAGCCCAAGTTATGCAATGGTAAGCACTCAGCTGCTAATCAGAAGGTCTGAGGTTTAAACCCACTAGCCACTTCCTGGGAGAAAAGACCTGGTAAGCTGCTCCCTTCAGTAGTCCAGCCCCAGGAGACCCTGTGGGCAGGTCTGTTCTGTTCCATAGGGAGACACAGAGTTAGAACCGACTCTACAGGAATGGGTGTTTGGGGTTGTAAGTCCTCCAGAATGGGAATCCTGCTCTCACTGGGGAGGTTTTCTAAGCTAATCAGTGTTGGAATCATAGCTGCTAATGAGAGGAATTGCTGTGTAATTTATTTTCATACCAAGACGCCCCAGATGTGTTGTAAAAATTAGTCTATATATCTTTAAGATGAGAAAGCCAAGAAACTTAAAATTCCTACTTCACATCGCAGATAGTAGCTCCAAAAGCCGGGTCTATCAACTAAATGCCCATTCAGGTCATCAATGATTATGTGTGTATGTGGGGAGTTTGGTGGGTTTGAAACTAGACCTTTAATGTTGCTTTGGAGGAATGTTTTGTTTGCTTTTCTGTGTACACAAGCGGAGTTTAAGGAAGTGCATACGGCCACAATAATCAACTCTTGGCATGTGGGAAGTATTTCTTTAAAGAATGCCAGAGTTCCAGTGATTGCAGAAAGGGGTTAGAAGAAGACAGTCGACAGCACCTCACTGAGCCCTGGCCAGCTTCACTTTGCTCCAAAGCCCAGGCTAGCTTAACTTTCGTACAAAGGACCAAAGGGTTAAGGAGACTCCATCGACTTCTTGAAATGAATAAAAATATTGATGTATGTTTTTCTAGGGTTATGGAAGTTTTTTTGGGTTCTCAGACAGGGTCAGGCCCCATAAATCATCAGCCATTATTGTGAAGGTAGAGTTGTACATGGAGAAGAGCTTGGACTCGTAGTCAAAACTCCTGTTGTATTCCTGGAGTCCTGGTGTGGTGCTGTAGGATAAGCACTGAACTGCTAACTACAAGGTCAGAGGTTCAAACCCATCAGCTGCTCTTGGGAAGCCGTGTGTAGTAGGGTTGCTACAAGTCAGAATTGACCTACCAGCACTTAACAGCAACAATCCATTCCTACCTTGAATGTTTCTCCTCTTTTGATGTTGAAGGCTTTTTTCTGTTTTGTTTTGTTTTAATCTCCAAAAGGAAAGGGGCAAAAGAGATGGAGTATGTGATGAGAAGTTCAAAATGAATTCATTCTGTCACACAAGAAGGTGATAGAGCTGCAGGTCTTAGTCACGTGTGGACAGATTTTGTGAGTTATTCACAGAACATTTTTTATTTCTAGTCTGTCATCGTATTCACCTGGAATTTCTGTTTTCGTTTTCATCTATTACTAAGTTTATATTAACCTCAAGGGATTAGACGTAGGAAATACCCATGTCCTTTTATCCTCTTTCTTTTTTCTTGCCAAAACCAAAACCAGAACCCTGTTGTAGTCTAATCAATTCTGACTCATAGCGAACCCTATATGACAAAGTAGAACTTCCCCATAGGGTTTCCAAGGCTGATAATCTTTACCAGCGTGGACTGACACATAGTTTGATTGCAGCACAGCTCGTGGGTTCAGCTGATGACCTTTTCGTTAGCAGTCAAGTGCTTGGCTCTGTTGATTGACCCTCAACCCCCAGAAATCAGTTTATGGATTCCAGGTCTAAGGTGATATGATTTAGAGGTTGGTCATAGACCGAATTGGGGCCATCTATCTCTTGATCTCCTGCCTGGATCCTAACAGAATGACTGTAGCTGTAAGTGTAACCTCAAAGATCTGATCCCATTCCTGAGGCCATAGCAAGGCAATTGCTTCTGGTAACCTTTCTAAGAGTGCAATGTCTTCTCAAAAGGACAGCATTTCAGATTCCAAAACCATGTCAGAGGAACAGCTTTCTCTCTGCAGCATGAATGGCATCCTAATTGTGTCTTGT